AAGGGGAACGAAGAGGAAGGAGGCAGGAGGGAAGCTCAAAACCTGCCACATGCGGCTCAAACAGAAGGCGCGGTGAGAGGCCCCGTGAGCGACCACGCAAGCCTGGACGCCCTCGATCATGGAGCGGCTGGGCGGTGGCACGATAAGGTGATTCACGGTCCCAACTGAGAAGGGGAGGGAGAAGGAGAGAGCACGAGCGGGCGGACACCGACCGCCCCTCCTCCCCAGAAAGGAGATCGACAAGCCTCCAACAAGCAACCGCCACGACCGCGCAGCGCTGCAGCCGCGCAGCGCTGCAGCATCGGAGCGCGGCCTCCCAGGCGGCCCCGGCAGTGGTTCTGCCAAGCCTGTTCGGGAACGCTCGGGGTACAGGGCAGTTTGTAATGCACGTTTTTTTTTTTTTTTTTTTTTTTTTTTTTTTTTTTTTTTTTTTTTTTTTTTTTTTTTTTTTTTTTTTTTTTTTTTTTTTTAAAAAAAAAAAAAAAAAAAAAAAATCGGATGTTTAATACATGATTAATGTATGAATCAATGTGTGCATGAACTCATCGTTGCTTTTGATACTAACTCCCTGCATGTTTAACACATGATCCGCACGCGCAGCATGTGTTAAAAACGGCACTGTAGAACAATCCTGCATTGATGCCGATGCTGCGCTGGCGCAGCGGCTGGGCTTGCCGCGGGCAGCTGGATGGTGATTGGCAATACGGAGGCCCCGAACCCTTGGGGAGGGGACCTAAGCTAGGAGGGCCCCCCGAACATGAGGGATCGGGCCTCTTTTCTGAATAACTATGTGCCGAGCCAGCCCGTCCAGATCGATCATCCCGAATGCAGCGACGGGTACCTCAGTGAGGCCACGTCTTCACTATGTGAGCAGGCTCCGGGGTTCTTGTGTTCTCGATGAGATAGATTGAGGGAGGGCAGTGGAAGAAAAAGGAAGCCCGGCATACACATATGCTTTTGGAGCTCCGCGCGTTTTTTTGGATCCGCGCGGAGCGCCAGAAGTTTAGGTTCATGGCGTTCTCATTCTTCGATGATTAGGGTTAGGGGTTCTTTTTTCCTCGATGAGGTAAGTTGAGGGACCGTTGAAGGAAGAAACTTTGCAGCATCAAGACTTGGGGGACCAATTCGAATACACCCCCCCGCACCCCCCCGGCCTTACTATTGAGCAGTTGGTCCCGGAGATGAGCGGCCGGGAAAAATCGGACCCGAAGATCTCGATCGCAACGAATTCCCAGATGAAGGCCCGGGGAGTGGAGGGGGGATTCGGTAGTTTGTCGTCGGAGCGTTGTCGATGCAAAATTTTTCCTTCAACGGGAGGACGGTGGGGGAGGGGGCGTGATGGGGTTCTCCTGGACTCTCCTGATGCGCACGCACGCCCGAATAATATAGCCAATCTGAGAACAACATGACACGCGTGCCACAGAACTCTCAGGGCACCCCGCAGGACGTGCCAAACAGGCTCGAAGAAGTGCGAGCCGGGCCCCCGCGGGACGGTGCCAAGGACGCAGGAGGGGAGCAGCAGAGAGGCGGCTGCAGCCACAGGCCACCGTGCCTGCCACCGGGGGCCCCAGCCCGCCGAGGAGGTGGAGCTTTTTTTTTTTTTTCTCCGCGCGGGCTCGACAATCCTGGCTTGACCAAGTCCTGGCGTGAGATCGAGCATGTCCTCCTTCAGGCGGATTCCGGGAAGAAGGAAGAAAACAAGGGGTGGAGGGGGGTGGATGGGGGGGGATTAGGTTATTTGGCGTCGGGGCGTTGTTGATGCAAAGTTTCTCTCTTTCCACCGTCGGTTGAGAGGGGATGGCGGGGGCTGGGAGGGGCGAGGGTCTAGGGTTTAGGGTTTTTGGGTTTTTGGATTTAAGGTTTAGGGGGGTGGGGTTCGGGGGGCGAAGCTGCGGATCTCTCTATCGCAGCACGGCTGCGCGGGAACCCGCCCCTCTCCGTGCGCCCCCCTCGGCAGCCGGCCAGCGCCGGGAGGGAGGAGGAGGAGGAGGAGGAGGAGGAGGAGGAGGAGGAGGAGGAGGAGGAGGAGGAGCAGTGGAGGAGGGAGTAGGAGGAGGCGGAGGAGGAAGAGGAGGTGGAGAAGGAGGAGAAGAGGGGGAGGCACTGATGTGGACACCACGGACGCATCGTCATTCGGGCAGTGCGCTGTAGCAGCAAGAGACAAGGGGGAGGAGGGAAGGCAGTGCTACATCTTGCCGGGGCCTGCGACGACAGCCGAAGATAGAACCACCAGCCCTCTGCATTCGTCCCTCTGTGCAACAGCCCCCAAGGGCAGAGCGGAGAGCAATTAAGGCCCAGGAGGACGGGATAAGTTGTGAGCTGGGAGGAGATGGAGGAGAGGTGGAGGAGGGAGAAGGAGGTCGTGGAAGGGGTACAGGCGAGCCAGTTTCCAGAGCATCTCCGAGTGGATCGCGAGGGCGTGTACGCAGGCGATGGGCACGTAGTGCACGAAGAGGGTGAAGGACTTCAAGTTGTCGTGCCCGATGCACGTGTTCGTCCTCTGGGAGTGGGCGAGAACCAGCGGGAGGAAGGAGAGCAGCGGGCTGAGGGGCGAGGAGGTACCAGGGAGAGGAGGATGGAGAGGGGAGGGCGACGGGAGGAGGACGAGGGAGGAGGAGGTCGAGGGGGGAAGAGAGAGGAGGGAGGGATGCGGGAGGAGGATAAGGAGGGACGAAGGACAGGGGAGGGAGGAGTGTCGCCAGACGATGGGGGAACGAACAGAGGACAACAAGCAAGACAAGAGGGGGGCCGTCATCGGCGTTTGCCGCGCTCTGGCTGTACCTCGGGCGGGGCGACCGACGAGCGGCAAAACGGCCTCGCTGCGTCGCATCAACTGTTTTCGTCTCGCGGTCGTCTCGCTGAACATTCGACCGTGGGACGGGCACTTCTGTTGCACATCGCGGTCGTGGTTCGTGGTGAAGATAGCGTCCACGTATGCAAAACGTCGATGATGATGATGATGATGATGATGATGATGATGATGATTATGATGATGTTGATGATGATGATGATGGTGATGATGGTGATGATGGTGATGATGATGATGATGATGACAATGGCATCATCATAACACATCGCGCACGCATTCTGGGAGGGGGGGCCGCCACGCAAGCGGACTCGCGACGAGCCACTCCCGTGGCAGAGGGCAGATGCAGTAGCGCGGAAGGAGATGTAGACCGATAAGAGCACAGGGAGCTCCAACACATGAATCATGCTGTCGGACCACCTGGCATCACGACCGAGGCAGCGTCCAGCGAGCCACGATACTGTAATTCTCGCCAGTACCAAGGAACCACCGTTCTCAGGTAGCATCCCATGGTTCAGTGTGCAGTGCATCGTAGCTGCAGCGAGGCGAAATAGACAGAGCAATATAGCTACATGATCTACGCTCAGGCCAGGGAGCGAGTCCCCTCACCTTCTTCGGGCAATGTGGAATCGACCACCAGCTTCTTGGACGAGGGATGCAGACGTAACCCACCGCCGCTGCCCCCCAGTGGTCCGCCATAGCGCAGAGCCTGCGCGTGAACTTACGCTGCATGCTGCGGCCCTCGGGCAGTGACCGCGGAGTCTGATCCAGAAGTGCGAAGATGCCCCAAGCGTGCCCGCAACAACACCTACGCCAGCAACGATGTTCCTGCCAGCGGTGGATGCGCTCGAATTCATCCTCTAACTCGGTTTAAAGAAAAACTCATCATAACAAGATTCGAGGCGAACTGCCGTGCCACCCTGTACATGAACACGCGCGCTATGCAGGCCAAGCCTCGGGCAGAAGCAGGGGGGAAATAAGATGGGTGCTTGAGCATGGACTCGCCGAGGCGGTTGCGAGGGACCCGTTCGAGAGACTCCAAGGTTATATTGCATCCTCGGGGGACCTTGTCTATCCCATCTCGGCCCTATCCGCGTCGAATCGGCGTCGAATCCATGTCGGACTCGTCGGATCCGTGTCGAATCCGTGTCGGATCCGCGTCGGATCTGCACCAGATCCGCGTCGAGCCCGCACCGAGCCCGCGTCGGGCACAAGAAAAGACACCCGTTTTAAGATATCAAACAATGACATAAACATAACAACTCGAAGGTCTGCGCGGATTCCTCGGATCTGCGCTGGACCCGCCTTCGCTGGCGCGCGGAGCGCGCCAGGGGCGGCGCCGGAGGCGCCGCCAGGGGGGGCTCCAGCGCCGATCCGAGGAATCCGCGCGGACACCCGAATTTTATGTGTATGTCATTGCTTGTTCCCCTAACGTTGGGGACAGGCGAGGTCCCCGAAGATGCAACGTAGTCCAGGACACGCTGCTCCACTGCAACAGCCACCCAGGAGCTGTTGTTTGCTGGTATTGTTGATGTTGTTGTTGAACTCTCATTTGTGAAGAATAAATATTGTTGATCCCGCCCGCCCGGTGCACATTGTGTTGCCGGCCCCCGGTTTACAATAACAACGGCTCCCGCCAGATACTTCCTCACAATTTATTGAAGTATCGCGCTCTCGCTTGGGACTTCCTTGCAAGTTACCACCAAATCGCGGCTCCCGCCTGATACTTCCTCACATTGTATTGCAGAATCGCGTTCTCTCTTGGGACTTCTTCGCAACTTACCACCGAATCGCGGCCCCCGCCTGATACTTCATCACAATTTATTCAGATGCCGTTCCTCGACACTCAGGAATCGTGCTCCCGCTACTTATTGCCTCCTCCTCCTCCTCCTCCTCCTCCTCCTCCTCCTCCTCCTCCTCGTCCTCCTCCTCCTCCTCCTCCTCGCTGCCCTTCCTTCGCCCGCCTTCGATGCCCCTCGCTACCAGTCCTGGTTCCGCGGTCGCCTTTGCTCGCTGCCCTTCGTGGCCCCGTTGCTGCCCTCAGTGGCCCCGTCGCTGCCCTTTGTGGCCCCGCATTGTATGCCCGTCGTGGCCCCCGTTCGCTCGCGCCCGTCGTGGCCCCACATGCATGCCCTTCGTGGCCCCGCTGTCGCCCTTCGTGGCCCCCTCGCTGCCCTTCGTGGCCCCGTTTCTGCGTTCAGTGGCCCCGTCCTTGCCCTCTGCGGCCCCATATACGTATGCCCTTCGTGACCCCCGCTCGTTCGTGCCCTTCGTGGCCCCATATGAATGCCCTTCGTGGCCCCGTTGCTGCCCTTCGTCGCCCTGCTTGCCATTTGTGGCCCCCTCGCTGCCCTTCGTGGCCCCTTTTCTGCGTTCAGTGGCCCCGCTGTCGCCCTTTCTGGCCCCATAAATGTATGCCCTTCGTGGCCGCCGCTCGCTCGCGTCCTTCGTGGTCCCCTCGCTGCCCTTCGTGGCCCTGTTGTCGCCGATTGGGGCCCCTTCGTTGCCCTTCGTGGCCCCGTTTCTGCCCTCTGTGGCCCCGTACACCTGGAACTCAGCAAGGCATGAGTGTACAGTCGGGGCCTTGACCTAAGGTAAGGGACCCTAAGTAAGGAGCGAGGCCCGTTTTCCGCATAAGTTAAACTTCGATCTCCCATATAAATAACCTAAGGCGAACAGCAAAACAACTAAGGAACACTGAGCCCCTCCCAAACGAAAAGGGTTCTTTCTTCAGCGCCCCGACTGTACAAACCCGACGTGTCTGTGCCAAGGGAGGCAGCGACACACCGCTCACCGAGTCGTCGTTAGACAAGCATGCTGAGTGGACACTTCACTTTTCTTGGCGTTTTTAATGCTGGTTTCGGCTGCCGCTGTGGGTACATTTCGAAACGCCTTCGGGCCAGCTTACTCGAGCCTGGGAGAAGGAGAGAGAGAGGAGAGAATGATGAGAGGTGGCGATGGTGATCAGGGGAACAGATTGGAACGAGGACTGATTAGACGGATGCTGAGGAAGGGGGGGGGCAGGAGAGAGAGAGGGAGAAGGATCAAAAGGACGGGGCAGAGTAGGAGGAAGAGGGGAAACAAGAGGAGGGGAAGAAAGAAGAGGGGTAAGAAGAGGAGGGGGAGATGCGAAGGAGCTGGGGAACTCGGAGGAAGGGGAAGGAGGGGGCGGGGGTGGGGCGAGAGGAAGGTGGAGAATTAGGAGGGGGAGGCGGGCGGGACAGAGGGGGAGGATGAGAGGACAGAGGGAAGGCGGAGACAGCGTCAAAAAGAGGGGGAGGGGAAGGAGAAGGATCCCCGCACGCTGCGCAAGTGAGCAGTCGTCTCAGGGCGAACGCGCGGCGCGCGCCCGCGGCGGCCCGTAAGGCGGGACAGGCCTACGCGGGCGGGCCGTGCGACGCTCTCAGGCGGCCTCGTTCAACGAGGGCACCCGGGCGGCCAAGGGAGGCCGCAGCAGCGCCGCAGGTCAGCCTTCGAAGAAGGAGGGAGGAGAGAGGGAGGGGGCCGAGAAGCTGCAGACGACTGCAATCAGCGGGCGCGATGGGGATAAGAAGAAGCATCCCCGCACGCTGCGCAAGTGAGCAGTCGTCTCAGGGCGAACGCGCGGCGCGCGCCCGCGGCGGCCCGTAAGGCGGGACAGGCCTACGCGGGCGGGCCGTGCGACGCTCTCAGGCGGCCTCGTTCAACGAGGGCACCCGGGCGGCCAAGGGAGGCCGCAGCAGCCACACCCAGGCTCAAAGCCCTTGCGAAGTGACAAGGTTTCGGCGGGCGGCCGCGAGCTGAATGGGCCACACAGCCGGGCCAACATTCAGAAAGGATGCGACGAGGAAGTCGCTGGAGTCGGCGAGGTAAGAAACACGGTCCCGAGCAGCTTCAGCCAATGATGGGAGGACTGCAGAGGCGGCAACATCGTAAAGATATCGCTCCGTACTGGAAGCTTGCCGCCAGCGATCACGCCAGAAGACGCGAGTAATGCCGTCCGAAATATCGGTTCTGAAGCGCAGCGCAGGGGACAGATCGAACCCCGATGGCGCTCTGGCGAGCGGGACGCCCAGCGCCGAAAGAAGATCGAGCCACCGAGTACGGAAGCCGCTTTGACCGAAGGTCAACAGGGGATCGGTGGGAGTCAAATCCCTGAAGACCAGCTCCATCATCCTGACCACTGCTCGGTCGGAGCACCGAGCGTGTTGACGCTCTCCGCCCGACCCCTGGGCCTCCGGAACAGAGATGCTCAGCAAAGCGTCGCCCGCGGACTCACGGCGGTCAATGGGCAGAGTGAGGTCGCTCCGGCGGGCGGTTGCCAACTCACCAGGCCTCACGGACATAGTGAACACGGCAAGCAGCAGGGTGGCCATATCAGGCCAGTCCCATGCGAGGCACAACGCTACCATGGCGCGCAGCAAAGCACGTGGCAGCGGTGGGATGGGACAGGGAGGCTTGGAAGGGATCCACCGTTTTGCCACATCCCACGCCTCGGTGAGGACGCCCCTCCACTGGGGCTGAAGAGCCTGCGCTCCCCGGATCGCATTCACAAGGACGAGGCGGGGGAGGCCAGCATCGTACAACCACACGCCGAAGGTCGCGAGCGCTCTCCCGAGCAAGATGCCGCTGCGGGCCCAAGTGGCAAGTGCCACACCTGTGTGCTCGACGCACCACACGTCAAACGCTTTAAGCGAACGAGTGCGCTGGTCGTC